GTTTGTGGATTTCGTACGGGCATGTTGAGAACGTGACGATGAACTAGATTGGCTGTTGGTCCGACCCTGCAGGCTGACTTAAGCTAAACGTCTTGGATGTTTTCATGTGGCCTGTAGTCCCAGTGTCTCAACCGCGAGGGTCTTAGTATCAGAGTGCTGGTTGCTGCCACTGCAATTCAAGGACCACTGTGGCAGATACATACTCATCACTGTTGGGAAATAAGAAACTGGTTAAGACAAGCAGATCTTGACTCATATCAATAAACCTCAAACAGCCTTCATGATCGACAAATCAGCCTCCTCTTCCGGTTTGGTCAGCTTGTACCCTGAGCTTGCAGGCTATTCTGTGAGCAACTTGACCTTCTGGGAAAGGGGGAAAGGAGGAAGGAGAAAGTTCTTGCAGAATAACCACTCATCCTTTTGCCCACTATCCAATTCCAGAAGCACAGACCCAGGACTTTGAAAGCTGCTGTGGGTTAGGCCACCAACAGCGCAGTCTTTAGCATATGTGCCACCGGGGTGCAAAGATCTGCCCAGCGCCCCCAAATTTAGTTTAGCCCCCAAATTAACTTTTATTCTGCTTATGTCAGACACCATTCTTACACCTTATCTCTTGTTTATGAAAGCAGGGAGGAAAAAGAACCAAACTTTTTTATTTGCTCATTTATTCACAATACCTTTATACTTAAGTACAACACAGCCACACTTAAACTTATAACTACTGTTTAGGCACCTACTTAGGAGGAACACCAGTTGTGTCAAAGGTGCCAAATAGTAGCTCAATACACTACGTAACACAATATTTTGATGTAAGAGTTAATTTCGCATGCACGACGCCGTTGTGAATGACAAGCCACGGTGCATCTTTAGTAAATGAGCACACAAAGTCTCAACTAGGGCTAGGGCCTTTTCAACACTGGCCCCGACTTGGTGGAACGCTCTGTCACAAGAGAGCAGGGCCTTGCGGGATTTGACATCTTTCTGCAGGGCCTGCAAGACGGAGCTGTTCCACCAAGCCTTAGGCTTAGACTGACTCTGACCCCTTATATGGGATCTGGCATATAAATTTTCCCTTGACTTTTTAGCTGGCCCATGTAGGACCAGCATGGATAGCTGACTTGGGTGAATATCTGATGTTTCCTCCCTTTATGGTCTTAATTTATGGGCTCCTACTAAAATGAGGGGACGTGGGTGGTGCTGTGGGTTAAACCACAGAGCCTAGGACTTGCCGATCAGAAGGTCGCGGTTCGAATCCCCGCGACAGGGTGAGCTCCCGTTGCTCAGTCCCTGCTCCTGTCCACCTAGCAGTTCGAAAGCACATCAAAGTGCAAGTAGATAAATAGGTACCGCTCTGGCGGGAAGGTAAACGGAGTTTCTGTACGCTGCTCTGGTTCGCCAGAAGCGGCTTAGTCATGCTGGCCACATGACCCAGAAGCTGTACGCCGGCTCCCTCGGCCAGTAAAGCGAGATGAGCGCTGCAATCCTAGAGTCTGTCATGACTGGACCTAATGGTCAGGGGTCCCTTTACCTTTACTAAAATGAGGCTGCTTCTTAAGCTGTATTTTAAGACGTATTTTAATTAACTGGCTTTTTTTCTATTACGTTTTACTGTAATTTATATTTGGTGTTAGCTGGGGAGGGCGAGGTATAAATAAATTATTATTATTATTATTATTATTATTATTATTATTATTATTATTATATAAAGTCCTTTATTGAAACAATAGGTATACATTTTGGTAATACCTAGGTATATATGTATTTTGTTTTTCTAGCTTGATCAAAATTATTTATTATTTCATAACAGGTAGATAGTTAAGAGCTTAGGTGGTTTCAGCAGCGGGTGCCTGGAGCCCCCCAGAATTCAGCACCCGGTTGCCCTGCACCCCTTGCACCCCCAGATAAAGACGGCCCTGCCACCAACATTTGAAGCAAGCAGAATGTGGGGTGAATAATGCAAAGTTCCCCGTTTCTCCTTAATAATTGCACTCTTGCTTGTGGGAGGTCAACAGCAAGTCATGCAGAATTGGAAAGAATCTGGGCCACCTTCAACTCTCTTTTTGGAGACAGGAGCATAGAAGCATCGAATCATAGAATGGTAGAGTTGGAAGGGCCCTCCGAGGGTCATCTAGGCCAACCCCCTGCAAGGTAGCAATCTCAGCTCAAGCAACCATGACAGATGGCTGTTCAACCTCTGCTTAAAAACCTCCAAGGAAGGAGAGTCCACCACCTCCCAAGGGAGACCTTTCCACTGTCAAACAGCTCTTACCATCAGAAAGTTCTTCCTGATGTTTAGTCGGAATCTCCTCTAAGATCATTTCCTTTAAGATGAATCTAATCTGCACAAAAGTTGCATGTGCTAATAATTCATTGGTAGAAATGCAAACTTTGGCTAACTTCTGGAGGGAAAGCTGACTTGTGAGCAAAGGAAAATCTTCTTCTTTCTTCCTTGGTGATTACTCATGGCCAAGTAAGATTGTCTTCCATGAACACGGTCTTAATAGGGAGTCCGTAAGTGACTGTGGATGTCAATTCTGGATCCACATGTCCTTCCACAGTGGGGACATAGGTTTCCAGGTGGGAGTTGATCACGGTGTGGATTTGCCAAGTATGCCTTCCTCTTATCACATTTCTCCCTTGCGTTCTGAGTTTGAGTGTCTTCAAAGCCTATGACACCTTGGGGAAAGGCTGTTCTCCAACTGGAGCGCTCGCAGGTGAGTGTTTCCCATTTGTCGGTGTTTATGCTACATTTTAAAAAGATTTCTCTTGAGAGAGTCTTTAAACCTCTTTTGTTGACCACAGGCATTACGCTTTCCATTTTTAAGTTCGGAATAGAGCAGTTGCTTTGGAAGACGATCATCAGGCATCCGAACAACATGACCAGTCGACATCAACGAAGTTGATGTCGAAGAATCATCGCTTCGCCATATTACGGCCATAGCCAACCAACCAGTTATGTTTGTGCAATTAGTTTTGGCTGCACAATGAAACTTCTGTGCCCTCCCCTATTACCCTGTGACACCCCCCTGCACCCCATAACCCCTGGCCCAGTTTTATGGGGCACACAGGAGATGTGTGGGGAGAGGTGAGGGCAGGGAGATTCCATTGTGCTGCTAAAAGCTATTGCACTGGCAAATAGGCTTAGATGGTTATTGCCCTATTTTTTTGTTTTTGTTTTTAAGGATAAGGAAGAGGAGATTTATGGCCTAGCGCAAAAGACCAGGGACTTGGGGTTACTGGGCGACACCCCAACAACACCTCTGGCCCAAGCTCAAGCAAGTTCAAACTCCATGGCCTCTGGCACACAGATAACGGTATTATGGCTTCCCCTTTGCACCTCAGCTAGGAACACAAAGAGTCAGAGCAAGCAGTGGCGGCTGTTGCTTCCCTTTTCTTTGACAGTGACAAATATACTGTTAGGTGTGTGTGTTTCTTAGATGATGATGTCAGGCCAAGATAGAGCCAGATTCAGGTTTGATGAGGTCCTAAGCTACTGAAGGTAATGGGGCCCTTTATATGTCCAGCTGTCCTTTGTCAACAACAAACTGTCACTGGTTTTTTGTGTGTTGAATATATGCTAGATGGTCATTTATGGACCTAATAGGTATCTCCAGACATTTGCACATGCAGAATGCAAAGGTAAAGGGACCCCTGACTATTAGGTCCAGTCATGGCCGACTCTGGGGTTGTGGCGCTCATCTCGCTTTCCTGGCCGAGGGAGCCGGCGTACAGCTTCCGGGTCATGTGGCCAGCATGACTAAGTCGCTTCTGGCAAACCAGAGCAGCGCATGGAAACACTGTTAACCTTCCTGCCAGAGCGGTACCTATTTATCTACTTGCACTTTGATATGCTTTCGAACTGCTAGGTTGGCAGGAGCAGATACTGAGCAACGGGAGCTCACCCCGTCGTGGGGATTCGAACCGCCGACCTTCTGATCGGCAAGTCCTAGGCTCTGTGGTTTAACCCACAGCGCCACCCGCGTCCCTCTGAGTCGGTAGAAGGCAGCTTTCTCTGTTGCTATGTTTGCTTTCGCATAACATCTAGGGTGGACATGAGCTTCTGAACATCACCAAATCTTGTGAAAACAAATTCCATAAATTGGCTATTACGCATCGTGTGAAGAACTGCTTCTGTCTGCCTGCATATAACCGAGTGCTAATATATTTCCTGGCCTGTACAGGCAGTCCCAGGAACTGCTGCGGGTTGTACCTGCAACTGCACATTTCCAGGCACAATGCTTGTTTGCACAAGTGTTTGCCCCAGGAAAACGGGCTGTGCTTTTCTGGAGAAAGAAAGAAAGAAGAAAAACCCAGATTGCATCAACCAGCCCTTGGTCTCTGCAGAAACAGCTCCCAAACCTCCAACACCAAGAAAAAACACTGATTCTTTGAAGTTAGCCCTCTCTCCTTTCATCCCAGCCCCTTCGGGGCAGGGGGGAAAAGAGAGAAAATTGAGCCTCTCCAGACACAGAGCTTGATTCTGCTTGAGCAACGAGCGCAGCCACATCCCGTCAGATAACCACAACTTTGGCAGCATGGCCGTGGCTGCCTTGTATCAAAAGCTTTCTCTCCCTCCTTGCGGCAGATGAAGAATGAGAGGCTCTGCTGCGCTGTTCAGAAATTAGAGTGGAGAAGATGTGTGGTCCTTTTGCCGTTCACCACAAGCCTTGTCCCCGGGGAAAGGCCCTGGGGTGGGGCGGGAAGAGCCTTGCGCTCCCTGCGTTTGACCTCCTGCCCCAGTGACGTGTCACCTAGCGGCATGTTTGGGCTCAGCTCTGTGATACCTGATCCCGTTCCTAGAGCAATAATCCGCCAACGAATTTGGGATGTGGAACTGCAATGCCAGGCGAGCAAGATGAAGAAACACCCAGGAGACTCTTGAGAGTCCCATGAACTGCAAGAAGATCAAACCGATCCATTCTGAAGGAAATGATCCCTGAGTGCTCACTGGAAGGACAGATCCTGAAGCTGAGGCTCCAATACTTTGGCCGCCTCATGAGAAGCACGTGTCTGGCGTGCCTGGCGTGCTCTGGTCCATGGGGTCATGAAGAGTCAGACACGACTAAACGACTAAACAACAAATAAAAGATAATGGGAGAGGATTTACCCCAGCAAATTATTTGTCAAAATTTTTTGTTGTTGTTGTTTAGTCGTTTAGTCGTGTCCGACTCTTCATGACCCCATGGACCAGAGCATGCCAGGCACTCCTGTCTTCCACTGCCTCCTGCAGTTTGGTCAAACACTGTCCAACCATCTCATCCTCCGTCGTCCCCTTCTCCTTGTGCCCTCCATCTTTCCCAACATCAGAGTCTTTTCCAGGGAGTCTTCTCTTCTCATGAGGTGGCCAAAGTCTTGGAGCCTCAGCTTCAGGATCTGTCCTTCCAGTGAGCCCTCAGGGCTGAATTCTTTCAGAATGGATCGGTTTGATCTTCTTGCAGTCCATGGGACTCTCAAGAGTCTCCTCCAGCACCAGAATTCAAAAGCATCCATTCTTCGGCGATCAGCCTTCTTTAGGGTCCAGCTCTCACTCCCATATATCACTACTGGGAAAACCATCGCTTTAACTAGACGGACCTTTGTTGGCAAGGTGGTGTCTCTGCTTTTCAAGATGCTGTCTAGGTTTGTCATTGCATTTGTCAAAATTACAAATACCTAAATACAGACGGTCATTTACCCTCGCTAGATTCAACGTGCTGCCATCTGCCTTACTGCAGGGCAGATTTGAGGGTAAACCATACGCAGAACGAATCTGCCCCTGCGGCTTGGTGAAGGTAGAAACTGTCTCTCATGCCTTGTTATGCTGCCGTTTCTACGGGGATATACGCTCGGTATTTATTACCGCTGCTATGCAAAAATCTCCAAATGAGTCCTAACTTCAATGTCTAAAATCCCTGGTAGAGGACAAGGACCCTGAGATCACATTAAGGGTAGCCAAATTCTGTGTGATTGCCATAAAACTTAGGGAACAAGCTGTGCAGTCATAATGATTATGGCCTTAAATGATAATTTTAGGTTTTATATTAGTGACTAAGTTTTAATTTATATATTTTTTAACTGTTGCTATATCTGTATTGTCCCTGTTATACCTAACTGCAAATTCAAATGTATCCCTATCGTGTTTTATGACTTCCTTGATATTGTATGTGGGCTGGGACTGGTCTGTGACCGAAATTATAAAATTCAAATTCTGATCCCGTTCTAAAGATCGTAAGGATGCAAGAATTGCCTCTCTGGATCAGACGGGAGGTGCTTGCAGGATTCCGTCGCCAGCAGAGAGCAAGATGCTTCCTGCTGGATCAGGCCGGCAGATGCTGCAATGGGAAACCTTGCAAGCAGGATTCTCCAGCAACTGGCTTTCAGGAGCATTGCTTCCTCCAACTGTGGAGGCAGAGGATAGTCGTCATGGCTGGTAGATCACTCCATGGGAGCAAGCGCAACATTCCTTGATTTCCTAGAGTGGGCATGCAAAGGGGATGTTTGGTCCAGCCAGTCGAAACTTCCTTGTTCCTCCCTGGGCTGGAGCATCCTTCCTTTTGCATGTGACTAGAAGTGGGTGTGACCTTACCTGTCCAGCTAACAAAAGGACAAAGCACACAGCCCTCCTCCCTCTCTTTTGCTTCCTCCGTCGTTGGACCAGCAGCTTTTTAGCTAGAGATGCTCTGCTGGCTTTCAGCCAAAAGAGGACAAAAGGACTGTCCACATATGAGATAGACCCACATGTGTATATTTTGTAACTAAGTCTGCCTTCAGGGAGCCAACTGTGAACTGATGATGTGAGTAAACTTCTTTTACATACTTTACACAAGACTGTGGTGTGTTAATTCTTTTAAGAGGGATATGTTGTTGTTTAGTCGTTTAGTCGTGTCCGACTCTTCGTGACCCCCTAGACCAGAGCACGCCAGGCACTCCTGTCTTCCACTGCCTCCCACAGTTTGGTCAAACTCATGCTGGTAGCTTCGAGAACACTATCCAACCATCTCGTCCTCTGTCGTCCCCTTCTCCTTGTGCCCTCCATCTTTCCCAACATCAGGGTCTTTTCCAGGGAGTCTTCTCTTCTCATGAGGTGGCCAAAGTCTTGGAGCCTCAGCTTCAAGATCTGTCCTTCCAGTGAGCACTCAGGGCTGATTTCCTTCAGAATGGATAGGTCTGACCTTCTTGCAGTCCATGGGACTCTCAAGAGTCTCCTCCAGCACCAGAATTCAAAAGCATCAATTCTTTGGTGATCAGCCTTTTTTAGGGTCCAGCTTTCACTTCCATACATCACTACTGGGAAAACCATAGCTTTAACTATACGGGCCTTTGTTGGCAAGGTGATGTCTCTGCTTTTTAAGATGCTGTTTTAAAAAGAGGGATATAATGGGGACTTACCAGGAATCTAATATTGAGAGGCTTGAACAAGCCTGCAACCAGCTATCTGCTGTGCGTTTAAAAGGGGAATGTGAAACTCTGCTAAGTATAGGAACTTGCTAGCGCAAGTTAGGAAGGATATTAATAAACAATATATCCTCTCCTGCCTCCCTGAACATTCCCACAGTTCCAAAGTTCAGGAGATTGTTGTTGCATTTATATATTACCTTTTCTTCCAAGGAGCTTGAGGCGGTGTACATGGTGCTCCTCCTTCCCATTACACCCTCACAGCAACCCTGCGAGGTAGGTTAAGAGTCTGCGACTGGCCCCAGGCCACCTGGTGAGCTTCAAGGTCGCCCAGGTCATAGTCCAGTGCTCTAACCATTACGCCACGCTGCCTCCCATGGCTGCACACCCCACAGAGAGTCCACAGCCACACTCCAGAGAAAAATCCAAAAATGCAGGCAACTGTATCAGCTATGGGGGACGCTTGGCCCTCCAGATGTTACTGAATGACAACTCCCAGCAACCATGGCTAGAGATTTCACTTGAGGAGCCCACGATTATCAGCAAGCTCTGCTCTATAGGCTTGCCTGAGAGAGAGTCAAAGCTAAATTTCAGAGAGAGAGAGAAGGAGAGAATGAATATTTTAAGAGCATTTCTTGTGGTTCCTTTGGAATAACCACCTAATAACTAGATGTATCCAAAGTTCCTTCGCTAGCTGTAATTGTCTCAAGGACGGCGGACATTAGGGCCAAGCTACATTCTTTCTCAGAGCTCCCAGCCTAGTTTTCTTTTTGCAAAAGCGGCCTAATTTGGACGTGCAGAAGAGATGCGATGCTTTGCGTCCTCTGCTGCAGGTCCTGATCTCTCCCACCTTGTCCCCGCACTCCCGGAGCTGCTGTTAGCTGAGGAGCAGAACATCTGGGGCAGGCCTAGGCAAACTCCAGCCCTCCAGATGTTTGGGACTACAATTCCCATCATCCCTAGCTAACAGGACCAGTGGTCAGGGGGAGATTATTTTTTTTATCTGGTGCTGAGGTGTCTTCAGAGCAATCCATTATAATCTATTGCTGCCTAACAGGGTGGGCCCACACACACACGAACTTGTTAATCTGTCCATACTTGGCTACCCTAACTTGGTAGACAGACAGAGAGAAGACCCGAAATGCAGGATAAAACTGTATCAATACAGGTGAAATGCTTCTGGGAGATGATATATAATGAGATGGAAAAAATGTTGAAATATACATTCATAAAGAAACCAGAAGCATTTTTACTGGGCATTGTGGGGAGTGATATAAATATAAAGGAATGTAAGCTCTTTTTATATGCAATAACAGCAGCAAGAATATTACTGGCCCAAAAATGGAAACAAGAAGAATTACTGACGATTGAAGAATGGAGAATGAAATTAATGGACTATGCAGAACTAGATAAACTAACAGGAAGGATTCGAAACCGGCGGGACCATAAATTCACGGAAGACTGGAGTAAATTTACGGGCTACTTGAAAAGTATTTGTGAAGATCAGACGATGTTTGTAGGTTTGCAAGAAGTTTTGTGAGGAGTATTATTGGAAGTATTGCAAAAATGGAGAAGGGGAAGGATGATTTTTTAAGAGATGTAAAGGCAATATAAAGTTAAGAAATGCATAAGAAGTGGTTAAAACGGTGGATCACCAGAGGTGCTGATGGAAGTCTAAAAAGATTGTATAAGTGATAAGTTTTGTGGTACATTTTATAATTTATATGTTAAAATCAATAGAAATTTAAAAAAAACCTGTATCAATACAGGACATAGCCTTTCACACTGAAATATGGGACAATCCTGTATTATACAGGACAGGTGGCAACTCTGACTGTAGAGGCAGAGAACAGCCTTTGGGGCTGGAGGCTTGTCCTCCGTGAATTGGTTTAATCTGCTGTTGAAGCCACTCAAGTCACTGACCATCATTGACCCATCATCAAGAGAGTTTCGTCGTTAAACTAGGCACAGTGTGAACTTTCTTTAACGTGCCCCGTGTGGAAATGTTGTGGAAAGTAGGAGAGGATATGTAGACTAAATATTATCTTTCCTTGGAAGCAAGTTGATGGATTTGTTAGAATCATATAAGTTGAACAATCCTGTCTGGTTTGTCTAGATTGGATTGTTCCTGGTAAATTTCCCCTTTAGTTCCCTCTTAAAAACAGTAATGACACAACAGTCTTCTTTAAGAGTAATGGTGCAGTTTACTTATATTCAGTTCACAGTCGTGACCCAGAGACAGGCTTTATCTAGCGGTTACAGGTTGACTCGATGGCCCTTGTGGTCTCTTCCAACTCTATGATTCTATGATTCTATGAAATACAGACATAAGATAACACCAAAATAAATAAACGAAAGGTATGTGAGTGCATGGAAGGTAGCAAGTAGAACTATTTATAACATAGACACATAATGGGTAACAAGACAAAGTTACAAAACATCAACCCTGTTATATTATATCAGTCATATCTATTCATAGGCTGAGGGGTTCCTTGGATACGTCCCCCCTGCACAAATGTATGAATGAATTTTCACGAGCAATTTCACCAATTGCTGCAGAAACTGGAAGGACAGAACAGAAAAGAAACGGAGAATAATAATAATAATAATAATTTATTTATACCCTGCCCATCTGGCCGGGTTTCCCCAGCCACTCTGGGCGGCTTCCAACAGAATATTAAAAAACAATAGTCTATTAAACATTAAAAGCTTCCCTAAACAGGGCTGCCTTCAGATGTCCTCTAAAAGTCTGGTAGCTGTTTTTCTCTTATACATCGGGTGGGAGGGCGTTCCACAGGACGGGCGCCACCACCAAGAAGGCCCTCTGCCTGGTTCCCTGTAACTTGGCTT